TACATGTATACTTATTTATTTCTACAAAGACAACATATGAACGTATTTTCAAGTAAAATTAATTAATCTGTGTTAAAAAGCAGGATAGCTGTACGCATACAGAGGGCTGTCTATTTTGTAGTAATAAATGTTAAAATTAGTATAAGTATGCTAATATAAAATTTTACAGAAAATAGTTTATCCACAATTGCACAATATATGTTTCAGATTACAAAACTTTCAGTTTTATACACAGTAGCAACCCGTTTGCAGCTTTGCGTGGATTCATAACAAATCTTTAATTTCTCGGCTCTTTTTACACTATAACATGCATGTATTACACATATGAACCTTCCTCTTGAATCACTCTATCTATTGTTGAAAACTGCTTTAAAACCGATTCGTAGTTTGAAAGATCTAAGCGAAGACAGAGGAAGCGACTTCATTTTATACTATGTCAAGATGTATAGACGAGTCCCTGAATTCACACGGATCAGATGAAATCCGGGTCTGCCAACCCTAATTCCGACGTTCATGAGATAACTTGCGGCCTACCTGTAATTATACAATTATACATATGTTATGTGCTTCATTGTCCGAAGATATGGCTTAAACTGTAATCCAACACGTGTAGTGGCAATTAACTTTTAAATCATATAACTATGCATAACGATATCCTTAATCCTTAATTATACAAATAAATGAAATTGAACATTAAATGCATACTAAGATATATACTGTACAGTAGTTTATATTTTCATATGCATTTAGTAAAAAAATATTTAAATATAATTGGTTGTCTGTCTACCTATTTGTCTGTCTGTTTGTTCTTTCTAATCTCTGTAAAGTCTTGACTGATTTTGACGGAACTTTTCAGCTAAGTTATAAGGAGTAACTTAGGCTACTTTTATTTAAGAAATTTTATTTATTTCAATAAAAAAGTTAAATTAAACGCTGACGAAGTTACGGAAAACGGCTAGTATATAACAAAATCGTAAAATCCTGACAAGAAAAACTGTTTATTTGTCTGTTTATGTGTTATGATTGACTTATAACCGTCTGCGGTAAATACAATGAAATTTTCACACAATATATTGATAAACGTGGGTGTCAACATATGAATTAAAAAAAGGAAAGAAAAATACCCGCCATCTGAGGGGTGAATAATTAATTTGTGAATATTTTCAATACGCCACCTACTAAGCTAACCTCTGTTATATTATACTAGCTGTGCCCGCGGTTACACCCGCCTTAAATTTCAATATAAAGTTTAGCCTATGTGTCATTCTGATGCCTAAGCTATATTACTGTAAAGTTTCATCAAAATCCGATTAGTAGCTTTTTCGGGAAAGATTAACAAACATCGATATTCACAAACTTTCGCGTTTATAATATTCAAATTCAAATTCAAAATATGTTTATTGATGTAGGTTTATTACAGATCCTTATGATATGTATTATTAAGATTGAATTTGATAATTGAAATCTCTATAATTTAAGTACATCCAATAAGATTCTATTATATTATCTTGTTCGATATTCTTAATTGCTTAACGCCTACACAGCACTTTCTGAGCTAAGCTGAGTAAGGCACATATTGGCTCTGTATAATTATTATTAACTTTATATTTTACTGCAAATAATCTTCCTCTCTAAGATATATTCAGAGAGTGAGAGTTTCTTGGTGTATAAGAAAAGAGTTTAAATTTTTTCTTATCAACCTTCTTCCTTAAATTCTTCTCCACTTTGCTCTCTATTAGCTATTGATGACTATTTGCTGTTACATTATGATTAGTGATTCATTATTCAACCCTTATTATATTATATATTCACCTTATTAAAAACTTATTATTAATTTTATTTATTTATTAAAGGAAAACCAAGGCTAGTAAGCCTTACTCATATTGAATCAATATAAAAACACACTAAGCGACTGACAGGCTTTCACAAATAACAACAGATCAATTGTATTAAATTCGACATCACTACATATAAGGGCACACATAAAAATATTATATTATTTCAATAGATCTATTATTGCTTATATATTATCACTATCCCAAATAAGAAACCCAGATAAGATCCAGCTGATAAAATAAACTTAATACTATATGAGAATACTAAGGTTGAGATAAAATATCCTTATCCCGATTCGCCTCAAAAAGGTCGTTGAAAGCAATTTTTCTTGAGACAAAAAAAATTACATCGATTCCTCAGAGCGTGTTCTATGGGTTCGAATTAATTTTATTTCGTAGCATGTTGAACATACGTGTTTAAGCATAAATTCCACTACGTTTTAAACAAAATAGCATCGAAATATTATTTTCCCTATTCTGTCTATTTATACATGGTAACAAAAATAAATAAATATATATATATATATATATATATATATATATATATATATATATATATATATATATACGAAACGAAACGAAAGGTTGAACCGATTTCGCTAATTCTTTTCTTGTTGTGTTTGTTATTGTCAGAAGGGTCTTATTGAGCGGTAGGTTAAAAGATTGATAACTATGACTATTCGAAAGCGCTTAAATTAAGTTTATTTGAATAGAAAATAATTTGAAATAAATTATTTTCTATTCTATTCTATTAAAGAAAAAAAAAAGAATATTTCTCCTGAAGAATAAGAAATTTGTGCAGAATTTTTGAATGCGAATTCAATATTCATCATTCATAGGTAAAACAGGACTACGTCTGTCGGGGTAACTGGTATACGTATAAACCACCCAGACCAGTACAAACAATCATACTCATGAATACAAATGTTTTCATTTTGTATATTCATTAGATGTTTCGTCGGTTTCCTGTAATACATTTTTTTTTTTTGTACTACGATGGTGGTAAGCTATTCTGAATTGTGATCCAATATTGGATGTAATTATTTATAATACAACATGAGATGTCATTACAGAAATGGCAGGAACAATGATTACATTCTAACTCTCATTATTCGAAATGTATTTCATATTATGTTATATATTTGATATCAATTTATGCTCTTTGATGTCTACCCATTTCAATGACAATAAAACCTACATCCTGGTTCCATGCCACGCGTCCCATTTATACGAAAGGAAAATGAAAAGAAAATCTCCCATAGGAAGAATAAAGATTCTATGGAAAATCTAATGTGAAACCAAAGTGAAATGGAGTTGAAATCTCTATAGAAATCAAATATTGTTATTTAGCACAAATAAATGGATTGTGCATTTTAAATTAGGAATAGAGATATATTTTATTCTTTTATATATCCATACTTCTATACTAATATGAATATTAGCGGAAATCTGTCTGTTTGTTACTGGTAAAGTGCTGAATGGATTTTAATGAAATTTTACGTGCACATAGACGACGTATAGTCTGGGAATAGAGTTCATTGACGTTAGATAATAAGATAGTGTAGGAATATTATACCACTGAGGTCCTTTTCAGTCCTAGCAACAGTGTTGTGATATAATAACAAACAAATCTATTTCGTTCTCGAAATAAAATCGGTCCCGTTCTAGTTTCGTTCCAGACTGTAAACATACTTGAAGATCCCGAGAGCCCAACGGTTATTAGGTGGATGTAAATAAAAGACATTTCTTCACAATTGCTTCAGAAGGGTTATCCCAATGCAGGGTTGCCAACCTTGAAATATTTAGCCTCGTAAAAAGATATTAAATATCTGATAAAAATCGTGTTTTACTTCAATACCGCTTCTAAACCCTATACTATATTATGATCGATTTTCGTACATTAAAATCTTGTACAAAATTGTACGAGAATGTAAATATCTTCGTAGCGTGGGAGCTGGTTTGAGGTGAAAAAATGCTCACGTGAAATAGGCGTGTGTAGCAGTTGCTATACAATGCATACAAATCCTCAGAATGATGAGGTCACGCCTTAAACCCTGTGACCGGGAGGCTTCTGCGCTTTTGTGAGGAACTTGACAGTCTACTTTGGTAGTTTCAGTTCTATATGCACAACGGCTCACATGAGAAGCTATATTCGATGAATGGTCAACTTACATTTACATTTACATGTCCTCATATCCAAGATCGAAAATTTTATATATGTACGAAGATTCTTTTACGGTTGGCATCCCTGTCCCAAAGGTTCTAAGGCAAACAACGCTTGGGTTCCTTCGCTAGCTTATTATACCTGATCCTATTCAGCTGCAAATCCTCTCTGATAAATATTTATACTAAAATATTTATTGGGGAAAATAAGCCTGTAGCAGTTACGACTTTGGCGTTTTTAATAACGTGTTGTCACGTTATTAAAAACGTATCCTGCTATATTTATTTTAGTTATTTCAGCTTTGAATATCAGTTGTTGTCATTTGTAGTATAATATGAAAGACTGTTGGAGTTATAGTCATATATTTTTTGTGGACTATTTTTTGCGAGCGATACATTTTTTTCTGAAGCAAACATCAATTGAAAAAAAATGGAAATCTGTCTATTAAAGTCTCAAGGAATCTTAATGTTTAATCTAAATATAGGTGGTATCAGAAAGTCCATACTACTGGAGGTACTTTAAAGTGAAGGTACCAATTGTGTATCTGATGTTACCTATATTAGAAACAATTTATATATATTCGTGTCGGTTATAATATAATAATAATAAACGTAAAAAATAACAACAGGGAAAGCTGAGGCAATATAAGAATAAAAATAAAAATAATACTCCTGGACAATTCACAGAACGTCATCTAGACCCAAGTTAAGCTAGCTAAAGCTTGTGTTATGGGCACTAGATAACTGATACAAATACATAGATATATTTTTCGTAAATAAATACATAATATATATAGAAAACACCCAAACCGATAGGAACAATCATATTCATGAATACAAATGTTTGCGTCGTGCGAGGAATCGAACCTGCGACCATCCAAAGTTAGGCGGTGTGCTACACTGTTAGACCACTGAGGCCGTTAAATATGTATTTCTCAGTTATACTCGTAAGCAAATGGACTCATGAGCTTAAGTTAATAATTTACCTTTTTATTGTTCTAGCGACCCAGACAGCAAAGCTTAGGCGGTGTTCTAAGACGCGAGGGTAACTGGAAGTGCTTCTTGTTGACGCTGATGATCGCCGGCTGCCTTGGTTCTGTGGTGTGGTGCAACACAGCTGAGATCGATCGGGACCTTATTGATTTGGACTCGTAAGTATATCTACAAAATATACTCTCAATACATCTGGTGATAACTTTGTACTCTGAGGGGAAATGAATTGTTAGTAATGACAAATAGTAACCCCTTTTTGCTAACAATTTGCACTGTTAGGTCGACCTCCAAACACAGCCCGCCCCGGAAACCGTCATGGTTAATTCGTCACGATGGACTAACTGACCTAATTTCTTACTCAGGGTGAACTGATGCCCCGACAGCCTATACCTTTATCGTAGGAAGCAGCATTACATTTCATCCATTAAAAAAAAATATAAATGAAACTCATTTGCTTCAAAGAGGCTTACCGAGGAGGTAAGCTTCTTTCATAAAAAAACCAAACTTATAAACCTGCGATATATGTTAATTACATAAACAGTTTTTTTTTAATTAATGAGTTATCATTTCTAGGTCCATATTATACCCTACGAATAGAAAAAACCTTACGAATATTATATTACACATAATATTCGTAGGGTTTTTTTATAAAGTGAATTGTAATACATAAATTATTCATGTATACAGACTACATTTGTCACTTACCTCCAGGTGGCACGTTCTATACGTATCAGTTTCCTTGCCATTCGTATTACATAAAAAAAGATGGGATCACATTAAAAAAGCGTTTCATTGTAAAACATCATAAAATATGTATGTGATAAATAAATAACTCAATCTACCAGCTACTCATACTGACGATCGAAGCGGCACGTATTCTAAATATTGATACTAACTAAATGGGTATCAATTTTAATAGTCAATGTTGGTATTATAGATTATGGACTGTGTGACACATTGATAAGCTTTATATCAGATGACCTATAACACGGCAGCCATTGAACAATCCGTTCTGATGCTGTTCTTATCTGAGAGTTCAATCGGCATCTGACGACAATGGGGCGCTGTGACGACACAAAAGGTTTTACAGGCTTTACGATCACAGAATATAGAGTTAAGTAGACGTCGTGTCTGGAATTCGAAATTTAATTTATGTGTAAATTTTTTAATTCTTTATTTATTTAGAACAGAATACAATAGAAAATTCTTTGTTCAAATACGTCACATTTAAGCACTTTTGAATAGACATCACTTATTTTTTTGTCCAACACTCATACGGAATGCGTCTCATAACACCAGGAAAGAGAGAAAACTAGTATGTTGCCCTTTTAAATAACTTAGTTGTAACTTTACAGTTTTAAGTTGGACTGTATGAATACAAAATACCAACTAGAAAAATTATTATTAAGGTAAGACCATAATATAAAAAATATATTACCAATTAAAAAAAGGACTAAGTACAATTTTATTATTTTTTAATCACTATTATGTATATAATAATAGGAATTACTTTTGATTAGTATAAGTTTCAATATGTATAACTTTAGAATCATCTTATTATGGATATAAATATATGAGTAATTAAATCATGATACATATTAAAAATTGAAACTTGTGAACATGAGTGGTAAAATCGCCTACAGCATCCGCCTATCGACAGGACTTTGACAATAATTGGTATATGATAACAGATTATGTTAATCCAAATCAAATTACGGTTCCGTATAACAATACGGGTAACAACCCATTTGGAGTAATGATCTTTGCGTGGGCAATTAATTATACAAAATTAAAAAATTAATATCAGTAATTAGCACGATGGTATTGGTCGTTCTGGTAGGGTACAATGCTAGCAATGGCCATAAAAATAATTATCGAAATTAGTTAAAATACAGTCAAATTAAGACGGAATTTTTTCTTCTATTATAAAGTCGGTAGAAAATGAATTCTTAGGTGTTGTATTTACGTAAACAGCTAGTAAAACAATATAACTGAAACAGATCATACTGATGCGCAATGGAATTTGCTTAAAGTTGCTAGTACACAAAAGAACAAACTAACTGACATACTGACAGCTCAAACCACTGAACCCAGAAACTTGGCAACACGAGTTTGTTCGAGTGTTCTTGACAATCCGAGCAAGGAAATTCAGGAAATCTCAAGGGATTGTTATAAAGTTTTATTCAGACTTAAACTCAAATATCTACAAGGGCGGACACCATTAAAACTGAGAAGTATGTGTATTTGAACAGGATACATGTCTTGTGAGTTTTTTAAACATTTTCATATAAAGGTTTATTTAACTTCCACGACTTTTTTTATTATATTAGGGTTGACAGACTTTTATTATGTGTAAAATTACTTCTAATACTTAGATTTAGAATCTTTTGAAATGTTTTTATTATTGTTTAAGTATTTATTTTTCAGTAACTATTAGGACGTTTTGGAATGACTTAACCTAAGATAATATTATTAGGTCCAGTGCCGACGCGGACGGTGCCGTTCTTTTGTATATTTCTAAAGAAGACATATAAGACAAGAATGTGATGATCTGATCCTGACACTTAACACGAGAACGCTTAATTTATATGATAATTTTTCGTTCCCTCCACTTTGTATGTATGTCCATTTAACTGGCTAATTTCTTAAAACTGATTTCTAGAATCACTATTGTTAAACAGTCATACATAGTCTAGAATAGGCTAGATTTACTTTATGTATGAAAGGAATATTATATAATAGTTTTTGTATTCTATATATATATTCTATATATATATAGTATAGGCAAATTGATATCTACCCACTGTCTCTGCGAATTTTTATATTTTTGACTAAGTCTCCGGTGATACTCGTAGAAATACCGATATCAAATCAAATGAATACTAAACAATTTTATCCAAAGATAAGCCGATAAATAAAGCCATGCCAAGTATTACGTTCCCAATGATATCGACAGTTGACAATGCCTCTAAACCACCTCATCCATATCAGTCGTGAGGTTATAATAGACATATATTTTATTTGAAAATAACCTATTCTACTAACATCTAAAATAGTTTTGTTTACCTCAGGAACCCGATAAAAAGGACGGTGCGAGAGTCGCCATGTGACGTCGGTTACGCATACATACCCATCGCATTTGTCCTGCTGCTGTACTTGGTGTACCTGGTGGAATGTTACCACAGCACTGCTCGCATCCAGCTGGCGAGAAGGGTAGATGTCGCTGCAGTCAACGCCAGGGTTCACTCTATGAGGACCGCCACGCCAAGGGTTTGGTATGTTCATTTTCATTTTATGTTACTGGAATAGCAAGCTGACTCTTGATGGTAAGTGGTAATACATAAACAGCACTAGTGACATCATTCTGTGACTCCCGTAATACCTCTCATGCGTTGCCATTTCGGTAGTTTCACCTCAGATTGATCCCCCGTCCAATTCAAACGGGGATCGAATCCTTAGCGGATCTGAGTGATCCGCTAAGGATTCGATCCCCATCCACAGTCCTATCCGTCAGGCAGGAGTTGATCTTCAGCTGTTCCATAAATCCTTTCGCTAGTTTGAAGTGCCATTTGAATTCTCCCCCTATCGTTCGGTGAAGCTGTAAAGGCCAGCTGCGGCCAAGAGAATTTGTCATTTGAATCTGTCGAAAAAACAGCATTTTGCATAACTACGATCGTATGATCTATGTAATATAGACTACCTTATCTCACCCTGTAACAGAAATACATATACAGTCCTACGACACTGTTAATGATACAATTTGTTTGCGTCTGAAATTAATGTTTCTTAAATGAAGTATAGTTAACATGACTCTTCTCAGTCGATACCTCAAGGCTGATGATTGATTCTAAGTGACCACTACACTTAGAATGCTCCTTCCAACCAATTGTTTTATCTGACGGCCTGTGGTCTAGCGGTTTAGCACACCGCTTTACTTCCGATAGTCACGGGTTCGATTCCCTGCACGTTACAAACATTTGTATTCATGAGTTTCATTGTTTGTCTGACTGTTTTCTATGTATGTGTATTATGCATGTATTTAAAAAATGTAAATGAAGTATTTCTGTCAGTTGTCTATTATTTATGACACAAGCTTGGCTTAGCTTGGGACTGGATTGCATTATGTAAATTTTTCAGGGTTATTATTATCTATATAAACCAAACGAAATCACAAGTAATAGGTAGTGTTATAATAATAATATAACAGTTTATTAAAAAAAAAGTACAAAAAGACACTATATAAAGTGTAACAATTATATAAATGTACTTAACAAAAGACGACCTTATTGCTAAAAGCAATCTCTCACACAGTACCTACGATTTATGCTTGTATAAAGAAAATTTCAGTAACTGTCATGTTTGTCTGAGAAACATAAAATAACAAAGATGAAGTATGCTTAATGAATGAGTGTAATAATTAAGGTTTCATAAGAAATATTGCGGAGATGAATAACAAAGAGTGATGAAACGGAATTTCTGAGATGAAATGAATGTTGGAACGCTAAAAATGTAATGAAAATATGGTTTACGTATGGAATGTGTGTACACATTTTATATGTAATACATACGTTTATTTTTTCGTATAAATATTTATTTATTATACTACAATAATGGCAAACAAGAATTCGATCCATCTGAAGATAAACGGTTACCGTAGCCTATAGACGCCTGAACATAGTATCGCAGGACAATGCACACAGCGCCATCTAGTTCCAAACTAAGCAAAGCTTATATAGGTACTAGACAACTGATAATATTTTTGATCTATTTGTAAATATATATTTTACATAGCAAACACCCAGACCGATATTTTTTATCGCCAAATATCACAGTTGAAAGAAAATCATCCATTTTCTTGATGAGCAGTTAATAATAAAGTAGGGAGAGAAATAATAACAGTGTTACGCAATGTTATATTCTGTTGCAGGTGGAAAGCAATATGCTACCATTACGTGAGGCGAAAACGGCAAGTCACGCGATATCGGAACGGCGACGCGTACACCACGACACAGGTGCGTACAAGATCTCATCTATATTTACGAGTAGTTCGTGTAGAGTATAATACTCAAATCACAGTAACGTACATATTATGGAACAGAATTGTTTATGGAAACACTTACTTAGTGATTTGTTTGTGTATTTATTTGGCTCTATGGTCTAGCGGATTAGCATACTGCTTTACTGCCGATAGTGTTCGGATTCTATCGTGATACAAATAATCATATTCGTGAATGTGATTGTTATTATTGGTCTGGTTGTTTAGTTCTAGCTCTGCTCTACTTTTGGCAAGATGGCGACGATGGATATATTACTAAAAATAATAATTTCGAGGTTGCTAAAAATACAAATTATCAGGCAATTTTGAATTGAAATTGTAATTCACCAATTACCAAGATAAAGAAAAACCTTTTTGTTAGAACAAAACATAGATTGCAAATACCTAGTGTCCCTATTATCTTGGTGTATTATGCTTTCTTTTGTTCCCCTATTCGAGGATAACGTCTAAGTATAAAGTAGCTAATTAATAATAATTAGTATTGTTGCAATAGGACGAGATGGTATCCCAAGGAAGGTAAAAGGAAAACAGGCAGACCCTACACAAGATAGAATAAAAATATCAGGGAATTGGCAGGAGTAATGTACTCTGTTCAGAGTGGCTTAAGAAAAATATTTTAATCATATTTTTATTTACATTTAATATTTGTTATAAAGCAGTGTTTTTAGGCTTATTATACAGATTAGGCAACTCTATGATTACTTAGTGTGGCATCCCTGGTGTTGCCCCATCAAGCCTTATAATATCAGCGTTGGATGCAAATCTAAGAAAATTACTAGAACCAAAGCGCTTACCGCCACCCGGACCTAATACACCTAGAACTAAATTGTCACACTTATGTAATTAATTCATCGAGGAGGTTGATACTCATTTTTAGTTAAAATTTGTAATTTATTACATTTAAATATTTTAAGTAAAACGCATCGTTCATTCATTTAACCTCTGGCTGTGGCCTCTGTAATTGGCCAATTTGATCTAAAAAGGCTATATATAATAATGACATGTCTATCACCCCATCAAAGGAAGATATGATGATGTAAAGGGAGAGATATATATATAAAGAATAATGATTGTAGTAATAATTGTTACAATAGGTATACTACGAAAGGGTGAACACACACAGCGCGAGCACATCTTTCGCGCATGCGTGTTGCGGCCAACGTGACGCCTCCAGAAATCTGGTCCTAGACGTAAAGACCCCCATCACCAAAGTTCGTTTCAGTAAAGGCTTCGCTTTTGCCAACATCGAAGCTGCTAGTGGTAAGTGATGGCACTTTGGTTCTGAAGATCACGGTTACCAACCTTTAGATACTTAGCCTCTAAAAAAGAAATGAAAAGTCTGGTAAAATCTCGTGCAGTTTTTCTAAGTTTAAAATTTTGTACCAATTTGTATGACGGTGAAAATATTTACGTACTCAAAAGCCAAAAATTTTCTATTTGTAGGATCCTCGTTACGATTGGCATGTCGGCTGTGGATTTTGTAGCAAAATAAGGAATGACAACACTGACTGCGTGAATATATCTGTCAAACCTCTTCCTATCGTTAAGCAGCTTCTTTTTAATCTTTTTTTGTTTGAAGAGATATGACAGTGTAATTACTAGATATGTTCTCAGGAATGGTGGTTACCATTCCTGACACGACATCATATCGTCACATAACGCTCAGGGTTTAGGAACTTACGTGACAACATGAGGTCGTGGTGATGTTATAGATAATGGTTTCCATTTCTATGAATTAGCCTGTTGTATGTATGTAGTTGCCAGTCCTGTTATGTAAAATATATTTTTTTATTTCTTAATATTAGTTGAACACTATATACTTGTGGTTACTGTACTCATCCTTTTACATATTTGATAATAATATCATTTTGAAAGAGTTTCTCTTCAGTTGTTCTCTGTTCAAGATATTTAGATCGTTTTTTATTTCCATAAGAAAGTTTATTTATACGCTCAATTTTTCTTATAAATCATATCGTATACAGATATCACTTATTATTATTTTGGCCTGAAAGACAACATGAAATATTGGAAGACTTCAAAATAAGACGATTTTCCGTGAAATACACTTGAAAAGTTTTCCTTCTATTATAATTATATACACTTGGATTTCTCTATAAAAATAATGATTTTCAGAATTTGAAGATCAAAGATCAAGATTCTTCGCCGAACACGAGCGATTTGATGACTTTATGGAAATGCGTGAAGGGCTTGATTTGATTGGAGTTAGTTCTTTCAAGGAATACATGGTAGCTTACAGGTACTTATTAATTAATTTCTTAACGTAATTTTAATGAATGGCAATAGAATATAGGCCCCCGCCAACGCTAACAGTATACGCTGACGAGACATTAGTGGAAGATGATGCTATGTCAATAAAATCAGGAATACGTTGTGAATAAACTAAGATATAATCACGATGGATTTCAAGTGAGACCCCGTGCAGGTCAACTTGACATGGAAGGTAGATTTCTACTCATTGTTATTACTTAGGTATATGAAGTACATGTCATGTCGAAGAACACTAGTAGACTAGTAGTAATACTTACAATGCACTCTTCATGCCATAATGCCATAATTATAACAAAATTGTGATTAATATTATAAAAGTTAATTTCTTTGTTTGTCTGTTTGTTCATTACTCTCTCACCCCTAAATCGTTTAAGAAATCATGAGTTTCGTATAGCCTTGCATTTGAAAAGGAGGAGGATATAGGGAACGTTTTTACGCCAAATATAAAAGTCGATTCCAATATAAGACAAAAATTGTTATTGTTAGCAAAATTGTTAGCAAAAGCTACTGTTTTAAACTATTTTTAGGGTTATTAGCTTATTGTAGATAAAGATTTTGTTAGCATTTGTTAACTAAATATGTTATTACAGGGAAGCGGATAGTTGTCCCTGGTATTCATCACAACTGCTCTTCTGGACGCTATCCTGCTTATTACTCTCGTGGCCCCTTCGAATTCTCATAGAGTGCAACACAGCTTATGTACATTATACTGTAAGTATTACCTATAATTACTGCAGATGTTGTATTTTTTTTTTCTGTGTTCATCTTGCAAACAGTCGAAGACTATGATTGTGGTAGATGAAACGTCTACACGTGACGTGAGTGTGATTCCCAGCACAATCATCGTCTCTTTAGGTGGTCCTGATTAGTCATTGGGTGCCAGTCTTTTTTTCTAATTCATTAATATTCTCATAAAAAGTTCTACAATTTTAGAAAAATTTATAATTATTACATGAATAATAATTACATAATTAAAGTCTTAAATTTTTAATGTATGTACATCATGTTAAATGTGGAGAATTGAATATTTACATTAGATATTATCTATCTATGTATCTATTTATGAATAATACGTATATATAATATCTCTTTTTATGAATAATACGGAAAACAAGCTAACAGCCTACCTAATGGTAAGAGTAACCGTAGCCTGAAACTGTACATGAAAATCACGACTAACATCGCTCACGAAATGAAAATGAAAGTACTGGGACAATTACAGATTTTACAAAATATGTTATGATCTATATATGTAGTACACAGCACTTTCTGAAGCAAAAAAATATGTATCTATTTAAAAATAGATAATTTATTTGGTTGAACATCGTTTTCCATACAATTTCTAGCGTGTCGGATCTTATAAGAAAATAAAGTACAAATGTTTCTCATTTTCAAGAGGCATGCAAACTCCAATTTTTTTCTGGATTTAAAAATAATAAAAAGAAATTTAAATGTTATGTCAATTCTCACAGAGTATATCAGCATTTTTCCACGAGCCGTTTGTATAGTTCCATTACTTCTCATTCTTAAACCATTTCTATAATATACAAGTCATACATAATAAAGAAACATTGTTGCAGATAACTAAGATATTTGGTACAAATTACGAATTAGACCCTAGTAGGCAGTTGGACCTTGACACACACCTGTCGGATACTTTACCGCCGGTGACCGCCACCAACTACTCGTGGGCCCTCGCCGACGAGCAAAGCGCCGTCCTCTGTTCAGCACCCCGTCCACCAAGAACCCTCCCTCTTTCACACGCATCTACTGTAGACAGCCTCGAACTATTCGCTGCCATACGAGGTAACTGTGCCTTAGTACCATCTTACTCCGAAGCAATGCGGATCGACGCAGCTCTGAGAGAAGAGCCCGCTGAAAATGCCAATAATGGTGTCTTAATAGACATTGAGACACAGAATAGGTCGAACAGACCCACTATAAAAGCGGCATCTTTTGACGAACCTCCCAGAAGACATAGGGTTACTATAGCCGGCACACATTCGAGTAATAGTATTGCATCTAGTGCTAGAACGAATGAAGCCAAACAGCAGAACAGAAGATCTTGGGCGGGAGTGGTTACGACAGCTAGAAGTGCCAGGCAGATCCTTGAAGATTTTAGGGCATCGAATCCTGTGAATTATCAGCCTATGCCTGAAGCCCAAAACAGAAGAGAAGGAGAGAGTACTCTGTATTATTCTAGAGAATTATCTCCAACTTGTTCAAGGGACCCTTTTGGTGGTCGCGCACAAACTACGCCCACTGACGAGCCACCTTCGTACGAAGAAGCATTAAGACTTCCAGCCTTAAGGCGACTTACTAGATCTATAACTGGGACCGATTTAGCAGGTTCTAGAAGAGCCTTTTTAAGGGATGTTCTTGCAAATAGAAGATCATGTTTGGAAGGTGTCGGGGTACTGTCCGAAGCTAAGGTGGTTAGGCTACCTTACAGCGAATCGGGGGATGAGACGCCGCTATAGCGATTCTGTAGTAGAGCTGCAGACTTTTATGGTGCAATAAAATATGTAGTTTAGTGCTCGTATACAATACGTGGTCGTTCGCAAAATGTGGCGGCCATACAGTGAGATTACGTTTTTAATATTACATTATACAATGCTTTGGAATTGTCTAATATTCTGAAGATGAGCTTGAGCAATTATTAGTAGTGTAGCGACTAAGTATAAATACGTCTCCATAATTATATTGCTAGTTTGAAGTAATGACTTAAATTACAATATAGTTATATGTAATTTTATAATTGATGCTAGAAATATTTTGTTATTGCCATATTAGATAGGTTGTATGTAAATATTAATATAATTCAGTATTCTATTAAGAAGCACTAACTCAGATATTAAAAGAAAATACAAAGCAATTTATGGACACAAATTTTCTAATTCAAATATAAAATATAATATTTTACTTGTTTAATAGTGTAGGTGCGTAAGTACATATTATTCTGTTTACGTAACGTTATTACTTACGTTATTTTCTATTAACATTTATTTACTTTAAATATTTTATTATTTATATTTACATATAACTGTCTATCGATACATAAAGTTCAAAATAAGTATACAAATTACTTTCGATCCTTACTTATTATGTTTATATATTCTACATTATTTAAAAATATAATAATGTTACTATTATTTATTTAGTAGATTTATAAATACCTCCTACTTTAGAACATCATCATAACAAAACAAGATCAATGATCGTCAGCCATTCATAGGTATTTATATAATAAATAAATGCAGAACTTATGGTACAGTGATCCCTCAAAGTATTGTAAATACAGGAATATTAATTCTAACTCTCAGAGAAATTACGCACCACAAAACACGGTTATTTGAAAATTGATTACTCGCTAAATCCTTTTCTTCAGGGACCAGAGGGTATCAAACGGCAATTCTTCTGATCTCTATTCGATCACTGTCTGCTACGAGCCATAATTTGAACTTTTCTTGATATTAAGAATATAAGTAAATACACCACTACTTTTATGTAACAAAACAACGTGTATATAATATTTTATATTTCACATCTACTTAGAAAGTTTCTATTTCCCTTTGGCATGAAACAAGGCATAGCACTTTACTTAAAAACAACCAAAATAAAATATTGGTAATGGATCTTGTGAAGATCCATTAATAACCTATTGCTTTGGGGATTAAAGTTTACTTTGATTGTGCATGAAAGTTACATATTTATTTCTGAAACCTTATATATAAAGAAATGGCCTTTGATTTAGTTCATATAAGTAGGTACCCGTCATTATGAGAATTGATCTAAAATTGAATGCAATGATTACAACTCTTAATGCTTCTAAAGAAAGACAAAATGCACAGTTTAATATAATTGTTTTAATCATTTATTCATTGGGAAAACTAACAGCTATAAGAAACAACTTATTATATGTGGATAAAAAACAGTTAGCCAAAATAGGTCTCCGTGCATAACTATTATGTATAAAAGCAAATTATACTGGTATAATTGAGGCGGGCTTCCATATAGGTACGAAACCTTCAAATTGTATGTACGCAAACAATAACTAATGAATAGGCCGTGTTAAGAAAAAAAAATCCGTAGATTCACACAAATTTCATACAAAACGTTTTGTTCCTCTAACTTGGTTTATTTACGCTCAAATTAATCGGTTCGATATTTAAAATCTCGACTGCTAATCGCGCCTGCCAGAGACAAGAATATAGAAAATAATAAATGTAATAATATAATAATATATGTTTTTTTTGCACAGAAGTGCCAAGTCATAAAAAAGAAACTGTTTTATTTTTTGGTGGGGAGATGGTTGCGGTAGCTTTATTGTTACTACAGAGGTCGAAGGAGCCGTTCTTATGTCTTACCATCTCAGATATATTGAAGCGTTAAACAATCATACATATATAGCAAAATAATGTGAAATATAAAAAAAATGCCGATGTTGTCTATAAAATAATGTAATTTTTATTATTCCTTTACATCATTGTAATAAAAAACATTCCGACATCAGATCAGTCCCGTGATTTAAAATAGCTACCACAGATTACATATATTACATCATCATATAAATATCGTGTAAAGTATTAAATATAAATGTAGTATAAAGCTATCATGTTTCGATGTTCTGGAACCCTCTGACATAACTGAAATTTAACTTCATGCATTGATCACTAACTTTTCTCGTTGAAGAATGTACTATAGGCATAAGGCAGTGCCTTGTATCCACTTTAGAGGTATGAAATATACGTATACTTAATATAAAATAATAATGCTATTATAATTATTAACTTTAAATAAGAAAGCATGAACATTTAAAACATTTTTTTTTAAATAACATCGTTGTTACTTAATTTGGAATGCCAACATTTTATTACGTAAAACAAATATAAATTTAAATAATGAAGTTTTATTTTTTACTTCATAGACACTGTAATTCACATTTAATAATAAAATAAAAATATTGTCTTATTAACTCTATGATATTTATAAGATATTGCTGTCCATAAACTTATGGACAACAATATATTTAAAGATATACCGGTGCACATTTATAATTAATAGTAGGTACGTAGGTATATACAATAAGAACTAGGGACTTATATTTTAAGACTTGTAAAAATTGCTCTAATTAAAAAATTCGTATTATGAATCGCACCATTCTAAAATAAATAATGTATTTACCTCGTCCAAGATTCTGAGTATATATTTATTAAGAAATTAACAGCATATATAATATATAAACACAATATTATTATTCAGTCCAATAGAATAGCTAATAATTTCACAATATCAATAGAAAAATAGTGACAGACTTTTATTATATTTTTAGTTTTGTATAAAACTATTTTCGTTATTTTCATTGATTTGATGAAACAACGAAATTTCATTTCAATGATGTGTTCCATTTTCTAACAAAACTAGTCACAAGTAACTTTATGTTTTATTATGATTTTATAATAATAGCTACTTATAAATACCTAAAGTGGACATACAAATAATTTCCTTCTCTTGTAAATAAAGTAATTTATTTCTGACTTATCCGAAATTGGAAATTCAATATTCTAAAATAGGTAATAAATTTACCTCGTTCAATCCACAGAGTATTTATTACAATTGCAGTTCAAACATTACCAATAAGATTTAACAATGACATTACATAATCCATCACTTTCCAATAAAACACACAAATATCTGTACTTCTTTACCACAATTCTATTACACTTGTAATTTTTTATTTTATTTTAATACAGTTGTAAATAAAATAAGATTGAAAACAAATTATTTAGGTAACTATAAAGTGCCAATAAATTGTAAGATTAATTAAGGTTTAGTTATTAAATTATTGCATATGTCGCGTTATGAATACAGTTTATCGGGTTTTAATACTAATTATTTAAAATCGTATAATGTATTTACCTACCTCATACAACGTTGTGACTAGTATTACGTGCAAGTTTTTTATTAATTATTAAATAATCTAATCTAATATTTCAAGGAGAAAACACAAATAATTGTTTTTTGTGGATAAACTGAATAAATCTGGTTTGAAAAAAAAAAATAACAACAAAAAAATGTATCAGATGAGTTTCTTACCAGTTCACAACTGAAGTAGCCGGCCGAACTGGACGCATTTATTAAATATTAATTTTCAATATTTCAAGGAGATAAAACAAAATTTTTGTTTCTTATGAATCAATAATTCCGAGTTGAGAAAATAATAACATCATAAAAAATAGTACCAGTTTCTTACCAGTTCATAGGCAAAATTCTGTGATTTGATTTGATTTAATCGAATCGAATCCAACTTCCAATTCACCGAATTTAATTTTTTTGCACCTTTTGACAGCTATGTCATCAGAATTATAATTAAAGAACTATTTATTCTTACAGATCTCTACTATAAATTATATGCAATGGATTATTAGTTATAATAGTAATACATGTCAAGACCCGATAAGCTATATGAATAATTAAATATAATTAATATACATATTCAGGCTGGTTAGCTTCTAAACCTAGAATAGTAAAGAGCAATTACTCTTGCAAATGTGTTTTACTTACTTTGAATTCATGTATCAACCGATCACAAAAAAAGAGGTACCAAATTCGACTGTACTGAATCTCGATTATATTTTATTACCTGGGAACATTTTTCTGTATTAACCAATTTTGAAAATTTGTTTGTTTTTTTAACCTGATGATTTCCGTGTGTTTCCATATAATTTTAATCATGATCTAACCTGTAGTTTTTGGGTTATGCTTAAGAATGTGATTGAAGATACTAGTATTGTATTAAAAAAAGAGATAGAGCATCAATATGATCTAATTTTTAAAGTATATAATGTTAACTTGGTTGATTATTAATTCATATAATATAAGTACTAAAGGTGACCATATTATTTGTTATTACAACAAAAATTACATACATATATGCTACAACTATTTCATACGAAAGCGTAAATACGTAATGCTTAAATACGTCGCGTCGTCAACAAAACAGTAACACAATTGAATTGTATCTAAACAAAAAGTTTACCTATTAAATCATTTAATAGTTGTAATATATTTATATACTAAATAATTATTATTTTGTACTAACAAGATATTTATATATTATTTTAAAAAATATAATAATGTGGTACGTTCAATAATTCAATTTAAACATAATACTTTTAATATATGACCAAACCAATTATAACCAATTGTATTAAAGTATTATTTTAATAATTTAAAGTAAACATAATCTACACTTTAAATATACGAACCAAAACAATTGTAATAAAGTACTAAATTAAATTGAAATGAATAAATACCGTTGCTGAACTAATATTACTGGCTTGTAGCCTAGTAGAATTTGAAATGTTAGAAGAAAATTTGGTGCGGTAACATTATGCGTTGACAATCCGAAAACATTCTAAAGGTAGTCCATTATTTATTAATTATGTGTTATTTGTGATGCTATGTATTATTAGAAGCTAGATC